GGGGAACGACACACACACCGGGGCCTGTTCCGACGGGGGATCGGGACGCGGGTACGGGGGGGCCGCGGCCTTGTAATGGCCCCCGGGGCTCTTTGTAGGGAGGGCTGGAGCTGGGCGAGGAGGGGGCCAAGGCCTCGACTTCGGCGCTGCCCCATCAGTAGGCCCCGGGGGGGGGTGCGGGTCCCTCTCAGCCCCCTCTGGGCCCTTCTCGCTGCTCGGAGCTCCTCATCCGTGTAGCCCCTCCTGTGTGGGGCCCGAGGGTCCTGGGCCTTAGGGGTTCTGGGGCAGGGATCCTGGGGGTCCTGGGTGGCCAGGGCCTTGGGACCTGGGGGATCGTGGGACTTAGGGCTTGGGGTCCTGGGCCTTGGGAGCAGGGGGGGGGCAAGGCCTTGGGGCATGGGGCGTCCTGGGCCTTAGGGCTTGGGGGCCTGTGGAGCCCTGGGAGTTCAGAGGCCAGGGCCTTGGGACTTGGGGGATCTTGGGCCTGGGGACTTGGGGGCCTGGGCTTGGATATACAGCCTAAGCTTGCACCTGGGGCCTGGGCCTGGCTGTCCTGCGCCTGGGCTGTGGGCTTGAGCCCTGTTTTCCCAGCGGTTTCCATCGAGAGCCTTTTGTTTACCAGTGCTGTTGGAGGCCAAGGCATTGCCAAGGTCTCCAGTGGAGCCTTAAGGGGGGAGGGTGAAACCAGACCTGCTGGGGGGAAGATTGGTTTAGGGATGGTTTGGGTGGCAGTATGTAAAGAAATAAAACGATTATTACAGTGGCATTTGCCTGGGGACAGCAACAGCTTCTGGCTCAAAGCTGCGCCAGGAGGAAATGCAAAGGGGCAGAGTGGGGAGCGTGCCGCCTCCTGAGCTGGGAAGGGGGCTCTGCTCTCCCCGCACACGTGGCGCGGGCACAGCTGCTTCTGAACAGCTTCTTGGCAGAGATTGGGAGTGCTTGGTGGGGGAAGGATTGCTCAGGAGCTGCCCAGTTGCTTCTTCAGCGTCGCTGCCTGATGCAAGGTGCTGGGTGAGCTGAACCCTTGGCCTTAGCAGACGGGGCCGTTCTGGCCTCGCATGATCCTCTGGCAGCCACGGTCTGTATGGAGTGAAGGAGCCCGGTGTGGGGGGCAGGGCTTTTCTCCTCTGTGTTAGTCATCTGCTGGCTTTCAAGAGAGAAGCCCCAGCCCATAAATGGGGCAGCAGCATGTGGGCTGGCTGGCCAGGACGTTAGGTCAAAGCAGTGAAGAAATGGCTGCTGGCATCGGGCACTGTGAGGATTTCACGTGGAGCCTCTCCAGGCCTTGTGTTCAGGTTATTTGGCACATGTGAATACAGAGGAAGGTGTTTTATCCCGTTTGAAAATGGTTGCATCTCTGTGTGCTGGCCTTTGTAGGAGAGAGCTGGGAGCAGAGTGCCTGTTTTCCTTGCTGCACGAGGGTGGATGTGCTCTCTGTGCCTTCACTTCTCTGTCTGCTCTGTGCTTCCAGGGCCCCTTCTCTCTGTTTGAGCATGAAGAGCACCCGCAGCACCTCCTCCTTCCAGGGTGCCGCTTCTGGCAGTGTGGATCTGAGCCTGACGGGCCTCCCCGCACCGGTCTCGCGGCGCCCTAGCAGTGCCTCTCCCGCCAAACACATGGCACGCTCCGTCTCGGTCACCGCCGATGGCAAACCGAAGAGGAACGCTCTGGTGAGTCCTGGGCAGGAGAAGTCCTTCGTCCCTCCTGCTGCTTGGGGCAGGGAGGCGCCTGTGCACGGGCTATGCGTGCACATGCTCTGCCGTCTGTCTAACGCTGGGCTGCGCTGATCCTGCAGGCTGAGCTTTGAAGCTTAGCCTGGGGCAGGAGGTGGCACTGAGGAGGGCCCTGGTTCCCCCCAGGAGCAGGTAGTATCGCTATGCACGTATGGAGAGCAGCCGTGCCACCTTCCGGAGGGGAGAATCGGGCTGGTGTAGGTGCCAGTTAGTGCTGCAGCTTTGGGTGCTGCCATGCCGTGCCCTCTCTCCAAATCTGATCATCCGCAATGATCGTCTGCTCGTCAGGTCTCTTCTTGATCCCTTTAACATATGCAGAAGGGCAAGCAGGGAAGTGTCGGGCTTCACCCTTCCCTTCCTTGCCCTTCACCTCCCTGTGGTGATTTCCTTCTGGAAAGTCCCGAGTTCCTGGTATCTTCTGCTGGATGCTGTGGTGTTTTCAGGCCCAGCTTGCTCCTTGCCATGCACCCTTCATTCCTCCTGGGGTCAGCAGGAGCTCTGGACTCTCGGTGTTTTGCAGAGAGGGTTTTTTTCTGAATGTTTTTTCAGCAGAGTGAATGAGCCCCAAGTACTTGCAGGGCTCTGTTAAGATCCAGTAGCAGAGAGTCTCTGCGCTCTTTGCTGAGTAATCCCTGCTGTCTTGGCAGTCTTCCTTCGTGCTCATTCCCAGGGCAGGTAATGAGCACGGCCCTTCTCGGCTGAGGAGCTCACACAAGCAAATGCATTCC